TATGCCAAAAAAAAAAAAAATCATGCATTTATGGACTTATTAATACTTTTCCACATTTTGTATAGTATTACATAGCAAATATTTACCACGTATTTTAGTGTTTGTGCAGTACTATAGTCTCATGGCCAGATAACCAGATCCTTATTCGTATTTGGATTTGAAAACAGAGAACATAGTTATATAAAGTTAATTTCTAAATGAGTCTTAATTTCTGAAAATCAAATGAACACGAAAAACAGAAAAGAAAATGAAGTGCTCTCTTCGAACCCATAATTCATTTGTATTTTGCCGTGCTGACATATTTAACGTGTTTTGTTCTTAGCTATTTTTGTTGAACTTATCATATTTTGGTCTTTCTATGTTGTCTAGCTGTGCTAGGACCCATATTTTGTAATCTTTTTTGGCCTGTCTATTGATAAAAGAAGTTTGTTGGAATAGTAGCAGGAGTTGCGTACAAGTAGTCGTTGTAAATGTTTTCTTTCTTTATTGTTGAGTTTTGTCTCTTCGTTTGACCCTTTTTCCCCTCATTCGTAAAACATCAAGACGAGTCCTTCAATTTCCTAGCAATTTGATATCCCATCTGTTTCAAAAGTTTTACACTCACACAAATATTATGGCTTATTTAAGATCACATATCTCAAAAATCTTATATTTTGTATTAAAGTTGGTGCCAAATCAAATTAAAACAATCTTTTTATAACGGGGGAGGAAGTAGCTTTTTCTCATTCATAAGAAGTTGCTTGTCCTTCAAAATAGGGGAAGGGTGGGAGGGGCGTTGACAAATTCTTTTACTTTGACCAAATTTGCTAGTAGTTTGAAAGGGGAAGAATTCGCTCTTTTTAATCTTTACTTTTCCAGATTGAACGATGGTATCACCACAAGGTAAACAAACAATAATCCGTCATGTATTCTCCAGAAGGATTTGAAAACTACGTATTTATACATAATGAGACAACACTTCCCTATTTGGCATATTTGTATAAGTCCAAATTTGGTGACCATGGTAACGGACATGCAAGACAAGGGACAGGGTCGATCATGATATAACGGCTGAAAGTTGTTCTCACAAAGGCTGATGTCAAAAGCGGGCAGCCGAGATGAGAAAGTAACGGGAGCATAGGTTCATAAGTGGGCATACCTATTAGGGTTTTTGGGGAATATCCCTTATAAATAGGAAGAGATAGAGAACAAAAGAGGATCCTTCTTCTTCGGAACTTCGAGAAAGAAAATACATTGTAAGAGTTGACAAAAAAGAATATCCAAAAGTTGTCTTATTTGTTGGTAATATTATTGAAGCACACGTTGTTCCATCTTGATCCATAAATCTAGAGATTCCATATCCATCCCAACTTCATACTTTTCCACGTCGCAGACAGAGGAAATGGACATCCCAATCATATGATAGTTGGGTGACAGATCCCTTTTCATCACATTTATTGCCATTGCTTACATTTATTGCATATTTAAACCACCATATTTATTATCAATCATAATGTATCGAATCCATTATTTGATGCATCTGAACACAACTCATTTCATAAATCTTCTATTTTATCCGGTCTAGAAGTTATTAAGTTCAACTAAGATTCACCCCTTTAATTCATCATTAATTGATTTAGCTATTATTTGCTCGAATAATTTGGCGCCGTCTGTGGGGAGGTTTTAGTTGAAATTTTAGTTCCTTCTAGATCCAAAAAAAAACCAGCCATCTTTTCTTCGTTTGCGCAAACTGACGATGACAGGAAAAGGAGATGCAAGACTGAAAGCAATAGCAGTCGTCACTACCAACATTTTGAACACCATCAACGAAGATGGTAGGGAAGATAACGAGAACATGATACCAAACGCTACGCCCAGGCGGAGTGCTTCACCTCCCCCTCATGAAAGCGTAACAGCTTCACGCAAAAGGGGAGCCTCCACGTCTACAGTTGAGGAAACATCACCAGTAGTGAAAAAATTACTAGAAGAGTGGCTGACAAGCACTTTAAACAACATACTCGATAAACCCATTCAAAGAGAGAGCAGAAACACCGCGCAAGCAGATATCACAACGATCACTGGCGAGCGGCCCGTCCCTCAAACAGGTAACACTTACACCACCGTTGATGCAGGTAATGATGCACTCGCAGCCATTCTGAAGAAAATGGAAAACAAAAATAAGGCACTTCGCGACCAGATGAGGGAGCATCAAGAAAAGGTCGATAAGATACCAGGCGCCCCAAAGTTACTAGCAAAATGAGACGTTGGTCGGTTCATCGAACAACCGTACATCAATGAAGCGGCTCCACATGCCATTCCCAAAAACTTCAAAATGCCACCATACCTAAAGATATACGACGGTACTATAGACCCCGAATATCACATCATTCATTATGTCACAACGGTGAAGGGCAACGACCTTTCGAAGGAGCAAGTACCATCAGTGTTACTGAAAAAGTTCGGCAAAACCTTAACGGGGAGGGGGATCCTTAACCTAGTATTCACAACTGTCGGCGCGGTCAATAACAACATTTGAGGAAATGGCCGACAAGTTCATCGCCGCCCATGTAGAGGCTAAAAAGGCGGAGGCCAGTATAAGTGATATATCCGCCATTAGACAATCACGTGGTGAGGGACATAAGGATTTCCTCCCCCGGTTTAACAGGGTAAAAATGAGCCTACCAAATGTATTAGGAGGGATGGCGGTATCATCTTTCCAGAACGGGTTGAACAGGAACGGGTCGAGAGCAACCAGAAAGTTGTTAAGCAGGCTCATGAAATACCCCCTTCACCACTTGGGAAGAGATCCACAATGCCTACTGTGCCGAGGTGAGAGCCGACGAGGATGACCTTAACAGTCCGACCCAATAGTTGACGTCAGTTCAAACGGAGTCGAGAAAAGATCGTCGTAACGGCAGTCGAAGAGATTAGTCAGGCCCTCGTCTCAACCGATAAAGACATCAACCCTACATTAGAACAGCCGTCCCACCGTCCCCTCGACATGCGGAAGGGCCATCCAGGCCACATACAAGGACTCAGCCGGTATGCCTCCACTCTTATATGCTCACAATTTTTGTGTTTCCCCTTCAGAAAAAGTGTACGCACTAGAGAAGCTTGGCACAAAGGTGAAATGGCCACAAAAGATGAAGTCCGACCTAAGTACCCGAAAGTCGAACATCCTCTACGAATTTCACCAGGAGCGGGGTCACAAAACTGAGGACTACATAGATCTACGGCAAAAGGTAGTAAACATGCTGAACCAAGGGCACCTGAGGGAACTGATGAGCGACCGTGGACGAGCCAACTTTGGTCGCGGACGTGAACAACACCAGGGGCCTCCAAAGCCACCCTCCCCCGCCTGCACCATCCAAATGATCATTAGCGGAGGCGATGAAGTAGCAATCAACCATGTGAAGTTCACCACTACACACAAACTGAAGCGGTTGATCACTCACGAACGGTACGACGACCTCGAATACAATATCATTTTACGGTTTGACTTTCCCTCATTTCGATGCTCTTGTTATTACTTTACGTATTTCAGATACTGATGTGAAAAGAATAATGGTAGATGAGGTAAGCGGCGCATGTATTATCCACCCTTGAGTCCTCACACATATGAGACTCGAAGACAAGATAGTACAGCGTTGCATAACACTAACAGGTTTTAACAATACAGTTGACGGACCTTTGGGGAGATAATGCTACCCGTTCTGGCCGAGGGCGTCACCCTAGAAACAATGTTCCATGTCATGAACCAAGACACAACTTACAATGCCATCATAGGGCGGCCATGGATACACGCCATGAGAGCTATACCGTCAAGCCTATATCAAGTAATCAAGTTCCCTAATCCATGGGGGATATTCAACATCTGAGGCGAACAACGCACCGCCTAAGAATGCTATCGTATCGCCCATGATTTCATATACACCCAACAACTAAAGGTAACAGACTCAGAAGCATAACAATTACCGAAGTCAGGGACCGAATTCGACGTACAAATAGACGTCATCACGGACTTCGACATCATGGAAGCCGATGAGTCAATGGTAGAAGACCTCGATCCCGTCCAACTAAATAGTAGAAACATCTACAAAAAGGCTTACATCGGACACTAACTCTCAGAACCAGGTAAATTTCACATGTTTTAATTGACAACGCTGATTTGTTTGCCTTCTCCCATGCAGATATGTCAGGCATCCCCAAAGACGTTGCCACTCACAAGATGAATGTCGACCCACTCTATCCACCAGTGTGGAAAATAAGAAGAAAATTCAATGTCGCAATCAACGAGGCCATCAATGATGAAGTAGATAAGCTGCTCGCCAATAGTTCTATCAAAATACCCCTAATGGGTCACCAATGTGGTCATGGTAAAAAAGAAAAACAGGAAATGGCGGATGTGCGTAGATTTCATATACCTAAACAAGGCATGCCCAAAAGACTCCTTTCTCTTGCCTCACATCGACTAGCTCATCGACGCAACAATAGGGCACGAATTTCTAAGCTTCTTGGACGCCAACTCGAGTTACAATCAAATCCTCATGGAGGAGGAGGACCAGGAGAAAACTACTTTCATCACCCATCAGGGAACGTAGTGTTACAGAGTCATGCCATTCGGGTTGAAGAATGCAAGGGCAACATACCAAAGGTTGGCCACCAAGATGTTAAAAGACCAACTCGGCAAGACAATGGAAGTCTACATCAATGACATGTTAGTCAAATCAAAAAGGAAAGAAGACCACATCAACCACTTAAAAGACGCCTTCGGAATATTAAGGCAGTACGGTATGAAACTAAACCCTGAAAAATGTGCCTTCGGTGTAACCTCAGGAAAATTTCTTGATTTCTTGGTATCATAAAGAGGCATCGAAGTCAATCCAGAACAAATCAAAGCCATTAAAGGGATACCTAAAGTGCTAACCAGCAAGAAACATGTGTAAAAACTGACTAGCCATATAGCCGCCCTGTCGAGATTCATCTCACGGTCATCCGACAGATGCCACAAATTCTTCAACATGCTGAAAAAAGACAATGGGCTCCAGTGGAATTCAGAATGCATCGATGCCCTGAGGGAACTAAAGGCATACTTGTCCTCGTCCCCACTGCTCGCCAAAGCAGAACCTGGCGAACGCCTCCTAATATACCTAGCCGTCTCAGAGGTCACGGCAAGCGCAGCGTTGGTCTACGAAAACAAAGGTACGCAATCTCCAATTTATTATATTAGCAAAACCCTGGTCGACGCCGAAACGAGGTACCCCCACCTCGAGAAATTGTCATTACCATTGGTTATTGCTTTCAGGAAAGCTTAGAACCTATTTTCAGTGCCATCCCATATTGGTGGTGACAACATTCCCCTTGCGGCTATCGGGAAGACTGGTCAAGTGGGCCATAGAATTGAGCAAGCACAATATAACATATCAGCCACGAACAATGATAAAATCGCAGGTAATCGCTGACTTTGTCACTGATTTTCGTGCCAAAATAATGCTTGAGGTCGAGCAGGAAGCTTCCCATACTCCGCCTGGGCAACCCAACCTCTGGGTCCAATACACCGACGATGCATCCAACGCATCAGGATCTAGACTGAGACTCGTACTCGAGGTCCCAACAGGCGAAATTATCGGCCAATCCATACGGTTCCCCAATATGACTAACAATGAAGCTGAGTATGAGGCCGTAATTGCAGGATTAAAGCTAGCTCTCAAATATAGCGCACGACGAGTCCTTCTCAGATGCGACTCACAAAGCGTTGTCAACCAAGTTACAAGGGATTTCCAAATCAAAGAGCAGAGGTTACAAAAGTACCAAGCAGAAATTCATAAACTACTGTCGGAATTCGATGAATGTCGACTCGACCATATACCTCGAGTGCAAAACATCGAGGCAGATAGCCTCCCCAAATTAGCAACAACCACAAAAAATATAGCTAAAGAGGACATGGTTACTGTCCTCCACTCGTCAATAGACCAACTTGAGGTACACTCTATAAATTTGACTTGGGACTAGTACAACTGCATCATGACATATTTTTCAGGAGGGAGTACTCCCGCAATACAAAAAGGAAGCTAAAAAGCTTCGAATGCAGGCAGCCAGGTACATCATCATAAATCACGACCTGTACAAGAGAACATTTGGGGGCATCTTGGCAAAATGCTTAGGGCTGAATCAAACAAGGCCCGTGCTCGAAGAAGTACACGGAGGTCACTGTGGTGCCCATACAGGCAACCAAGCCCTCGTCAGATGCCTCATTCGGGTAGGATATTACTGGTCCACTATGAAAAAGAAAGCTACAGATTATGTCAAGAGGTGCGAGTAGTGCCAAAAGTACGCACCTATGATATATCAAGCAGGAGAACACCTCAACTCTGTCACTTCGCCATGGGCGTTCATCAAGTAGGGAATGGACATCGTCGGACCCCTCCTAGTGGGGCAAGGTAAGATACGTTTTCTTTTGGTTTTAACTGACTACTTTTCCAAATGGGTGGAAGCAGGTGAGTTCACCCAAATACACGAACAAGAAGTCATCACATTCATATGGAGGAACATCACATGCCGTTTCAGCATCCCTAAAAAAAATTAGCTATGACAATGGGCCCTAATTCACCGGGAAAAAGACCACTGAGTTCTTCGAAAAATGGTACATCAAGCGAATACTCTCGACGCCATATCATCCCGCCGATAACGGTCAAGCGGAATCCTCCAACAAAATAATATTAAACATCTTAAAGAAAAAACTCGAGGACGCCAAAGGGTTATGGCCAGAATTGCTACCAGAAGTACTATGGACCTACCGCACCATGCCAAAAACGAGCATAGGTGAAACACCATATTCACTAGTCTACGGGACTGATGCCATGATACATGTCGAGGTCGGGGATCCTAGCTTGAGATACTCCAATGAAAGCGGACAAAACAACAATGAGAATAGGAAACAAGACCTCGACGAGGCAGAAGAACGAAGAGACATGACTTACGTAAGAATGGTAGCCCAAAAACAACAAGCAAAAAATTACTACAAAAAAATCCAAAATACGACAGCTTAAAGTCGGAGACAGTAGCAAGCAAAGGAGCATTCCAACTAGAAACAATGGAAGTAAAACTACTATAAAACAATTGGAATGTCGCCCACCTCAAATACTTCAACTTCTGAAAAAGGACGCCCCTCTAGTCGTACTCTTTTTTTCCTCACCCGGGTTTTGTCCCAATTGGGTTTTCTAGGGAAGGTTTTTAACGAGACGACAAAGGGGACGTCTCAAAGTTCAAGTATGATTCATCGCCCGACCTGCCAACTGCTTCTCCAGGCCGAATGATGAAGAGACTAGATACATGGAAACTTCTCCAATATATGTATGAAGCAGACGTATAGTATTCTCTAGTGAATAAATTAAAGCAGCATTTTGTACTCTCCACCAAGATATTCTCCAATGAATGAAATAAAGCAACATTTTACTCTTCACTGTCTCTTTTGTTTTCGCATCTAACATTCGACCTCGCTCGAATTACTTATTATTCAACCTCGCTCGAATTACTTAATATTCGACCTCGCTCGAATTACTTAACGTTCTACCTCGCTCGAATTACTTAACGTTCGACCTCACTCGAATTATTTAAGGTACGACCTCGCTCTAATTACTTAACGTTCGACCTCGCTAAAATTACTTAACGTCTGACATCGTTCGAATTACTTAACATTCGACCTCGCTCGAATTACATAACCTTCGACCTCGCTCGAATTACTTAACCTTCGACCTCACTCGAATTACTTAACGCGAGACCTCGTTCGAATTACTTAACATTCGACCTCGCTCGAATTGCTTTACACTCCACCTTACTCGAGTTACTTTAAGATCTGCGATCAACTATGCCATAACATGACACACAAGCAGCCGAAAAGCCAAGGACTTCACCGCACAACAAACAAAAATGACAATTCAGAGATACACAACAAAAAATGTAATCATTCCATTACAACTGTTATATCACAAAACTTTTTACAAAAGGGCCCGAAAATGCCCTCACAAAAATAGCAAGGCAAAATAAAAAAAAAATACAACAGCCCTACGCCGCGTTATCCCCTTCAGCATACTCCTCATTATACCAGGAATCCGAGGCGAGCCTATCCGCATCATCATCGACATCGTCCCCGCTAGGCATACCGAGATTATAACCACAAGCTTCACAGGCCGCACGTGCTTTAACACGGACACCCTCGAGCTTTGCCTCAGAAACCTTCTTGTCGGCCTTCTGGGACTTGTACACATCAAGCTGAGCATCGTCATAAACCCACATCTCATACAACTCCCACGGCATGACGGGATCGACAGAAGTATGAGACGTAGATGGCTGCGACTACCATCACACATCCTCAGCCTTCAAAGCAACAACCCGTCCATTCAATCTGGACAACTTCGCCTATAGATCTTGAATCCGCTCTTTTAACCTCGCAACCTTGAGCGCCGACGTCTCCACCTCATTATCCTGCTCAAACCTATAAACATGAAGGGCATTATCCAAGGCTGCTACTTCAGATATGGCGGCCACCCTGCCTTTTTTGGCATGAGCCAATTCATCGACTTTAACACTCAACTCACCCCGCATATCGACAACCTCCTCTTCCCTCTACCCAACCTCAGAATAAAAGAAGCTACACGTACCTGAAGATCGGCGTTCTCGGCCATCACCCCCTTGCTCACCTCGAGCTCATCATCTTTGGCCTTAAGAGCCGCCTCAAGCTCGCTACATCGACCTATGTCCTTCATGGCTCATCATCCTACTCCTTCAGCTCTTCAACTTTCTGTGCCAACTCTTTCCCTTTCTGTTTAAGCCCATTACGAAATAGCTAAAACTTGCTATCTTGAGTAAAGACATCAACCAACGCATGGTGCTTGGTATGATATCCTTTGTACTTGGTTCACCTTCTTAAAAACGGTCGTCCTCCGCTCATCCCTCCGGTTGCACTCGATCTCCATAATGAGTGCCTGACATGCAGAGGAAAGAAAGTGAGCATAAGCAGATTACGCATGCGAAACAAATCCTAACAGGAAAAGAAAAAACACTTACTCTAAAAGCATGCTAGAAATACTCCGCGATAGATCTGCATCACTCATCGCCTGAAGCGCCACGTTCTTAGAAGCGGCGCACAAGGGAGCGAAGGACAAAACTACCTGCTCAGAGTTCACCAAAAGATCATAACCCACGAGGAATGATTACGTGTAAGTTAGGACCCTCCGTCCTCACTTCCACGCGGGTATTTTTCTCCAAAAAGGCCCGTACCTCTTCGGGATCGATGTCTGAGCCTGAACCATCATCCTTTGCGAGCACCACTCCATCTCCTCCGGCCACTGACCCGTGTAGGTTTGCCGCCTTGGTATACCCCCCGGCCCTAGGGACCTCCCCGCCATAATAGAATCTGTCATAAAAACGGTCCCTGCATCTGGCATAGGTGGCTCTCGAGTCAATGACCTTTTTCTTTTCAACACTAGTGGCGACGGTCGTTTTGAGTTCCATTCTCCTCCCCTTTCTCGATGGCGATTCCTCTCCGTTATAGGACTCATATACAAGGTGGTAGATGGGTCGGGAACAGATGTCATCCCGTACAATAATATTCCGAGGAAGGGGGGTCCCTAATTGACAAAGTTTGAGTACGTCCGCCCACAACCAAATTAAATTGCATCCCTGCAAATGTAATGTCCTGGCGAAATATCAGCACCAAAGCTTTCTTTTTGGAAGCCCGTCGTCCTGTCACCACAAAGAGGTCGTATCAATAAATAACGGCAAATAACAGAAAGCCAAAACAGAAGTAACACTTACTAGATGGGACCTTCGGTCCAAAGCATTTGTAGAAGACCACCCAATCTCGAATGGCCCCCCCATGTGAGGTAACACGCGAGCCACACAATCTTCAATGCCGATGACGGGAAAGGGTGAACGCCTCTCAGCTAAAAAAACAACACAAAGAAACTAGAAATGAATGAAAATCAAAAGGGACGGAAGAAGATAACAAACGTATGCGATCAATACCTACGATTATGATTCCACTTCTCGGGAAATCCAGTAGGGTCCGACACCAAGTGCTTTGTTTTGATAAAAAAGTACTTGTGCCAAAACTTCCGATTCATCCTATCGTCCATTCCAACTATCAGCCCTCTGGTCCCGTGATATCGCAGGTGTATCATAGTGCCTTTATAAAAACTAGGTGAAAACAAGTGTAATATGTGGCAGGCATCAAACTTGCAACTAGCCAACTTTGCATACTTTGTCAACATCCTGAAAACTTTATACAAATACGGAGACAGTTGCGCCGGGCAGACGTTGTAAAATCGGCAGAATTCCTCTGCCAGTGGAAGAAAAGGGAGAGTATAACTGATTAAGAAAGGGTAAACATAAAAGGCACAATACCCAGGTCGATGGACCTCTACGATGTCGCCACCAGCCGGAACCATCTCGACGTGAGAAGGGATATGATATATAGATCAGAGTTCAGCTATGTGAGACAGCCTAGTCTCAAAGATCACCGAAACAGGAGCAGGTGCAAGTTCCTTGTGGAAATCACTTCTATACAAGGGGTTTCTGGGAATTATCTCCTCTACGATAGGAAAACGCTCTCCCTTTTCAGCCATGAGATCCTCACAGCCGGAAGGAGGAGCCACCGACAACGGAGTGGCGTCGGAAACTTCGTCACGAATGTGAAGGGTTTGTGACATCTCAACAAGTGTGCTACTAAACCTAAAGAAAGAGGTCATAATTGGGTACGAAGGAGAGAAACAAAATCGTAAAGACAAAGCTAATAACAGGGACTGACAAAGAAGATCGAAGGAAAATAGTGTTCATGCAAGGAGGGGAATGGTGGAAACTTCTAAAAAATGAAATCCTTATCTATTTATAGGGTTGGATGGCACGAGAATCGAAGCTAAAGATTGTCAGTGACACTAAAACCAAAGCTAAAGGCACGCAGATGCTGTCTCAAGAAGATGCGTAATGATGATGCACATGGTTGTGACGGCATTCCATGGTAACCACATCAGTCATGACTCTGCCGGTTGCGTCGTTCTCTCGATCTTGGTTGACCCAGCTTAATTCAATGGCCAAATTCTCCAGAGATAAAAGAAAATAATGTCCACTTATCGAGGACGTGCAGGTCCACGACCTTAACAAGCGGAGGGACTAATTGTATAGGTCCAATTTGGTGACCACGATAACGGACACACAAGAAAAGGGACAGGTTGACGACGATATAACGACTGAAGGTTGTTCTCACAAAGGCTGATGTCAAAAGCGGGCAGCCGAGATAAGAAAGTAACGGGAGCATAGGTTCAT